CTGGTAACCCCGCCTTATGCTTCCTACCTGGCTATTGGCCAATCAGTGTTGTATTCATTAACCAATAAGAGAAACTTATACAGAAGGACATCCCCCATCAAAGTAGTATAGCATTGCTGACTTAATTCTATCACTGGGAGTGGGGTTGAGATTATACAGGCTCACCCTACTTCCAGTTTGCTCTCTCTGCTTCATGCTTGTAACTAAGATGTGATCACTCAGCTTCCTGCTCCTGCCACTGTGCCTGGCACTTGCTGCCATACTTACCTGCCATGATGGATTCTTACCCTGTACAACTGAAAGCACAAATGTACTCATCCTTCTTTAAATCTCTTTGGTCATGGTATTTTAGCACCACAAGAAGAAAATAACTAATACAGCAAAGAAGCAGAGAAATCGCATAATCATAGCAGTACATACACAAATGGCTTTTAGCAAAGTACAACATTCCTTCATGATAAAATCCCTGAAAAAATCAGAATAGAAGAAATATACCCTAACATAATAAAGATTACATATGAGAAACATATGCCAGTACTATACGGAGTGAATAAAAACTCAAAGCATTTCACCTTTCAGGAATGAGACAAAGGTTTTCACTTTTTCATTCAGTGCAGTCTGTGAAGTTCTAGCTTAAAAAGATGATAGAAATAAAAGAATACAAATAGAAAAGGGAAAAGTTTAATTATCCATTTAGAGATAATATCATTCTACAAGTCAAAGGCCCTAATTATCCCACAAAACAAAAGCTGTTATAACTGAGAAATGCTTCTAGGAAAATAGCAGAATGCAAAGTCAACATACAAATCCAGTTACTTTCTTATTACCAATAGCAAGCATAATGAGAAATAAATCAGGAGAAAAAAGTCACATACCTAGGAGCAGTCATGACCAAAGATGTAAAAATCCTCTACAATGAAGACTTTAAATACCAAAGAAATAAAGGAAGACACTAGATCATGGAAAGACTTGTGCTCATGGTAGGTTCAATCAAAATTCATCAAAATTACAATGAACTTCTTCATAGGAAAAACACTAAAGTTATATGGAAGCATAAATGATCCCAATAGCTGAAGAAATCCTAAATAGAAATAATAATGCTGTATGAATCATAATGCCTACTCTCAAATTCTACTACAAAGCCACTGTAACAAAAACAGCATGGTACTGATACAAAAGCAAACTTGCAGATCGACTGAATAGAATATAGAATGCAGAAATAAAGCCATACACCTGCAGCCACTTTAATCTTGACAAGGCTGTCAAAACATATATTTGGTGGGACAGCCTTTCTAATAACTAGCATTAGGAAAATGTATTCACATGAAAGTAGATACTTACCTCTCACTGTTCACAAAAAAATCAATTCAAGATTGACCAAAGATATTAACATAAAATGTGCAACTTCAAATCCAGTAGAGGAAAACAGGAAAATCATTTCAAGAGATAGATACAGGCAGAAACTCTCTGAACAGGTCTGTCCTAGCACAGGAAATAGCTACCCCCCCACCCCGTTACTCCAAAACTAGCAAGTAAGATTGCATGAATTAAAAGGCCTCTGCACAGCAAAGGGGACAGTTAATTGAGTGAAGAGATGGCCAAGATAATGGGAGAAAACAATTGCTAGCTGTGTGTGTGTGTGTGTGTGTGTGTGTGTGTGTGTGCGCGCGCGCGCGCGCGCGCGTAGGGGGGATCAATATCTATAACATTAAAAAATAAAGTAAATGTGAAAAACCAAGCAATCCAGTGAAGACAGAAGCTAATGAAATAGACAGTTCTCAAAAGAAGGAATTCAAATGATCAATAAGCATTTGGAAGTTTGTTCAGCACATTTAGCCACTGGGTAAATGCAAATTAAAATGCATTGATTTAATATAGTCCCATCTATTGATACTTGGCACTAGTCCCCGTGCTGTTAATGATCTAGTCAGAAAATTTATGCCCGTGTCCTGAAGAGTATGTTTTTGTCTGGAAGTTTCCATGTTTCTGGTTTTAAATTAAGGTCTTTAGTCTGTTTCAAACTGAATTTTGTACAATTTTGTACACTTTTGTCCAGTGTATGAATTGTAGCCTTAGTTAAAAATGAAGCAGACATACCTTTGTCTGCTTATTTCTGGGCCCTCTATTGTGTTCTATTGCCCTACCTGTCTGCTTTGACAATAGTACCACGCTGTTTTTATCACTATAGCTCTATAGTACATTTTTTTTTGTTTTACAAGACAGGGTTTCTCTGTGTAGCTTTGTAGAGCAGGCTGGCCTTGAACTCACAGAGATCCACCTGCCTTGCCACCTGAGTACTGGGATTAAAGGCATACACCACCACTGCCAGGTTTATAGAACAGCTTAAAGCCAACTATTGTGGTATCTCCAGATGTGTTCTTACTTTTTGGGATCACTTTAGCTACTTATGGTATTTTATGCTTCCATAGAATTTTTAACTTTTTTCTGTATCTATGAAATATGATCTCTGAATTTTAATAGGTATTTCATTAAATCCATAGATTATGTTTTGTATAATAGCCACTTTCATGATATTAATTCTGCCAATCCAGGAACATCTTTTCATAATCTAATATGTTCTTTGACTTCCTTTTCCAACAGCTTGAAATCTTAATTGTAAATGTCTTTCTCCTCTTTCATTAGGACAGTTTCTAACTCACCCTTGTTGGAATGGCTGTCATCATCAAGACAGTAAATGAATATGAGTACTGATGAAGATGCAGGGGAAAGAAAACATTTACACAGTTTTAGAGGGAATGAAATTAGTCCAGCCTCCATAGATGTCAGATTGGTAGTTCCTCAAAATGTGACTATGGAACTGGCTTAACTAACCACAAGATTTGTTGGTAGAGCCTGGAGAAATTAGGTTGTTGCTGAACTGGAAGCTTTATCCCTGATGGCTTAGTTTTCATCTTTCTAAATGCAGCTATAAATGCTACTGCCGGAGAGTTGTTATCAGCCATTTTGTTCAACTGTGTACTCTGCATCCTATACTACAGAACTTCAAGGTGGGATGTCACCACTGGTATAACAGTGTGTGATAGAAATAACCAACTTCTTTCTGTTTGGATCTCCTTCACATCATGGAATCTGTATCTGACACCTCAAACCAAATCAAAAGCCCAGGTCTACAGTGTGACCTCCTTTCAGAGAGAGCTGGGTAGAGAGAAAAATAATAGGAATTTAAAGCTGAATGATCTACCTGTATAATATTATACTAATAGTTATCTCCTAATGTGTATAGACCCCTTACTATACACTTTTTCTTATGCTAATCCCTTCTCAAAGACTACAGTATTATTGCTTTTGCTTGCCCTATTCAACAGTTATGGAAACTGTGGCACAGAAAGAGCCAATAATCTTTCAAAGGAGTGTATGCCATGTGTACACATGTCTATATTATCCTGTAAGCTAGGTGTGCATGCAAATAATTGGCAAATGACTGGCCCAGTACAGATGTATGTGTATATTCCTCTGTATATTTCTTTGTATCCCATTCATGTAGGTGTCATCTTAGATATGTATGTAAATAATGTACATGTATAGGATGCATGTAGGCATGTTCTTGATATATATGGATGTTAGAAGATTAGATTCTCAAGCCCTCAATTTCTTTCTTACATTCCATTTACTCTTTAAATGACTGTTTGTACCACACATCATCATTAACCCTTATTATCTTCAATACTAGATGATATTGTGTACATGCAGTGTGGTATCAGTGAAGACCAAGCATCTGTCTTTCTGAGCCTGATCAATCCCCTATTACAACTTATACCATTCCTTGGTATCTATTCTAAAAATTCTAAATCAACATGTCACAGAGATATTTTTATATTTGTGTTCATTGTACCACTAGTCTCAACCATGAAGTTATTAAATCAGCCTATGTATTTATCAATAGATAAATGGATAAACAAAATATGATGTGTATACACAATGGAGTTTGATTGAGTCCCAAAAAAAATGAAGCTATGTCATTTACAAGATGGTGGATGCCAGATGGAGACACAAAATATTATTAGGTGAAATACCTCAGACTGAGAAACAAAAATGTTGCGTGTTTTCTCTCATTTGTGGATTCTAGGTGTTGTACCAGCATAAAAACATGACAGTACGGGCAGCAGAGGGAAAATCACGTGGTCACTAGAAAGAGAGAAGTAGGTGGGGGAAGCTGTGTGTAATGTTCAAAACAGTAAAGTAAATGAAATTGTCTTTGTGAAACCATTACTACACCAAATGAATATATGAAAATGAAAACTTGTAAAACATTTTTAAAGTTGTGAAATTTACCCTATATGTAGTTAAACTTAGATTTCAATTTAAAAATAATCAATTTAAAGGAGTAAGTTGTTGTATTCAAACATTACTTCCATATACTATTTTAATAATATAAATTATAAGATTTTTTTGCTTTCTTGTTTATATTTTTGTGAATAGTTTTGGAGTTTCCATGGATTTGTGGGCTTTGTTTTTGTTTGTGAAATCTCACTGTCTTAGCCAGACTAGTCTGGATAACTCGAGGCTCAAGTGATTCCCATGCATCAGTCTCCCAAGGAGTTAGAGGCATAGGCAGGTGCCACAGTGCCCAGCTAGCGATGAGTTGCTATGGAAAGGGATGAAACGCCGGTTTTGTCAGTTTGGATCCTGTCCGTGTATGTCTGACATTCCCATACCACCATTCACTTTATAAATGCAAAACAGCATCTGAGGGACAAGCAAAATCCATGAAACAGGAACTTTAATTTGCTTATTTGCTCACTACAAGCAGATGTTAGTCCACATACATTCTTCGGGCAGCCAGAGTCCTAGGAAACAAGAGGGAACTCCATAAAGATGTTTCTGATTCCACTATAAGGCATTCTTGGGCCACTCCAAAGTCTTTAAATATGGAAGAAAAACATCACTGGTCTGTCAAGCTGTCATTATAAGCGACATTCTGCAGCAGGTAAAAAAAAACTAAAATAGTTGCAACAGGAGCAACCCTGAGGTCTGTTGAGATGCTGACTGTAGTAGAGGCCATTCTGCTTTGTTTGGCAACGAGTGAGTCAGTGCTGGGAGTTCTAGGGAATGGATTTATCCTGTATGAGACCTGCATTGATTGTGTCAGGCAGAAGAAGTTCTCAAAGATTGGCTTTATTCTCACAGGCGTGGCTATTTCCAGAATCTGTGTCATAGTCATAATCATCTCTGATGGATATTTAAAATCACTTTCTCCACATATGATTGCTTCTGACACCCATGTTACAAGTATTTCGTATCTATGGATGATTGTCAATCACATAAATACATGGTTTGCCACCAGCCTCAACCTCTTCTATTTGCTGAAGATAGCAAATTTTTCTCACTACCTCTTTCTCTGCTTGAAGAGACGAATCAATACAATATTTGTTCTTCTTCTGGGATGCTTGTTTATATCATGGTCCATTTCTTTTCCACAAGTAACAAAGATGTTCAATGATAAATTGCAACACACAAATATATCCTGGCAGTTTCACCTCCGTAAAAGTGAGTTCATTTCAAACCATATTCTTTTCAACCTGGGAGTCATTTTCTTCTTTTTGATGACTATCATCATATGCTTCCTATTAATTATTTCACTTTGGAGACACAGCAGGCAGATGAAGCCAAGTGTGTCAGGATTCGATAATCCTAACACAGAAGTTCATGTGAAAGCCATGAAAGTTTTAATTTCCTTTATTATCCTCTTTGTCTTACATTTCATAGGTCTTTTCATAGAAACCCTGAGCTTTTTCAGATCAGAAAATAAGTTGTTGTTTGTTTTTGGTTTGACAATTACATGCGTGTATCCTTGCTGTCACTCATTTATCCTAATTCTAGCAAACAGTCAGCTGAAGCAAGCATCTTTGAGGGCACTGAAGCAATTAAATTGCTGTGAGAAAGGCAAGGACATCAAGGATGCCAGACTGGCATGACAGATTTACAGAGAATTGCATGGTCACAGCAAATAGCCTGGTGTGGAGAGGTGTGAAGACGGTTTTCACTCCCATTCTGTTCTTGCATTGATTTAAAAGCAAAAACCAAACAAGCCAAAAATTCTTATGTGTTGTCATGGAAATTTTTTTGTCTTGGAACTGGAGAGATGGCTCAGCGTTTAAGAAAGAGCTCAGACAGCTCTCTTTTTTGTTGTCAGTTTTGTCTGGTTGGTTGGTTGGTTTGGTTTGGTGTTTGGGTTTTTGAGACAGGGTTTCTCTGTGTAGCCCTGGTTGTCCTGGAATTCACTCTGTAGACCAGGTTGTCCTCCACCTCAGAGATCTGCCTGCCTCTGTCTCCCCAGTCCTGGGGTTATAAGTGTGGGAAACCCGGCCCCTCAATTGTTTTTAACATATCTTTAAAACCCCTCATTCTTTGATGGACATTTAATTCCATGTGCAAATTTAATAACTTAAATCAGTCTCCTGACCCTGACACTCCTTCCTACACATTACCCAAAGGAAAATATCTGACTGTAAATTACTCCATGTAAAGTCCCTCAGCGTGAGGTTAAACACCTGAAACAAGACTTTGCATTAGGATTCATCTGACTTCCACCGAACACTGACACCCTTTCGCTAGGAATACCCAAGGAAAAAGCAAAGCTGGACAAGTAGGCTCAATCTTGACACGTAGACCGTGAAACTGGGGGGAGCAGTGGAAGCATTTTTGTGTGAATGCAATTTTACTTCTTACAAAATTACTTTAACTTTCATGGTTTAAATCCCCCAAATCCTTCCTACTTCGGGAAAATTTGATGTAGACTCAAAGATCTTAATGGCAGATGGCTGGAATTCTGAGAGAAAAACAGTCAAGGGAACAGTTTATTTGGAGGAGAGGAGAGCAGAGAACCAGAGCCTACACTCTTGAGAGGCTATGATTTCAGATAATGAAGAGAATGAATGAATTGAAGTTTAAGGAAAGTTGCTGCTGGAGCAGATGTTGAGAACTCATTGTTGTCATTGACTATGAGACAAATGACAGAATTTCAGGTAGAATGTGGTTATAGTATGAAATTTTCCACTTTATGGCTACATGCACACATGCACACACACGTGACACACACATAAATGCACACACACACTCATAGTTACATTTCAAATAAAGATTTTTACGTGAATTTTTATGTCCAAACCAGCAGCACATCAGTGTCTTATTTAGTTCATTTAAAAGTGTGTGTGGACCTTACACTTATAGAATGGTGGCCGAACAGTGCTAGATATAAAGGCTTAATTTGTTTCCTGTCTGAAGTTTTGATATCAGTGTTTTTATGTTTTGTCTAAAATTTCAGAATGGACAAATATTATACTATGTCTTTTTAATTTTTATGTATATGAGTGATTTCCTTGTATGTATATTTGAGTACCACATGTGTCCTGATGCCCAAGGAGACCAGAAGAGGCTGTTGGTTGCTCTGGCACTGAAGTTATAGATGGTTGTGAGCCACCGTATGAGTGTTGGAACTGAACCCAGATCATTGTAAGAGCAGAAAGTGTTCTCAAGCACAGAACTAGATCTTTAACCATAGAATAGCATTTTTAAATATTGAATTTCATTGCACATTTTAACTAATTTACCAAATCAGTTAAAATGTATAATACTGTCTGGGCAGCTGTGCTCGGAATCTTAATTACATTAGCATACAATTAATTCATTTTCCTATTTTTAAAGCTATTTATAAACATTTTCACTTACGTTATGTTGCTTATATCTTGTTTGGCATGTTTTCCTATGTTTCAAATAAATATAAAATGACTTACAAGGTATGAATATTAATATGTGATTTTTTATTAGAAAGATTTGGTTCTTTAGCCTAAGTTCGCATCAAACTCACAACTATCCTCCCAACTGGTTGGATTGCTAGTCTCAGGTATCACCCCTGACCAAAAAAGAACTTTCTTTAAACAATAATTTTATACATATTGAAATTATAGTGTTGAATGAGGTTACACTGTAATGAATAATGTATTCTAGCAAGAAAAATAACAGGAAATAACTAAAATATTTGTACTTTTATTTCTAGGTTAAAAAATCTAATTGATGCTTAGCAAAATAGTTACTGGGTCCTTGGAGGAGAAAAGGTTTCTCTGAGGTTAAGGTAGTTTTGACTCAAGTTAAGTAAGGCTAGACAGTAAAATGGAAATCAGGAGGAATTCTATGTGGGAAAAAAAACTTATATACTGAAAGTGCTAAAGACATTGCAAGAAATGAGTGTCCAGGGTAACCCAGTGCATACCAACCAAGGTTTTTAATTATTATGAGAGAAGATTAATTGAAAGGAATTCAACAAAATTCTTACGCAACTAATAACTCTCTCCAGAAAGAGTGAAGAAATATTTTAAGTGGGAATAAATATCCATCATCACCCAGTCTTACTATTTCTGTGCTGTCTTGGTTACAAAAGCACTTTTTAAAAATAAATGCATATTCAATACTGAGTTTGGGGTTTTAACAATCAGCATATACAATTTTAGCAATTGTTTATTTGCATTCTTAGCCTTCCCAGTCTTAGGATTATCATGTTTTTCTTCATTATTTTATGCTTTAACACTATGCCTTAGATACATTGTTGCTGTTGTTTCTCTTAATTTGCAATCCAGAAAATATTTTATGATATTTAGTGAAGTCATTTTGTAGTTTATATGAATTCAAAATTGTGTTTTCTTTTTGTTTCCTCCTCTTGCTATTTTTGTCAATATTAATTCAGTTTTAATTGTGCCTGTTCCTTTTATAGCAATGCTCCATTTTGGTATAAAATAATAGTTTCATTGAGCATGATGTTATAAAATGGAAAGGTATGAAATAGATTATGATTATCTACACTTTCATTCATTAATTAACTATACCATATTTCCAGACATATAAATAATATATATGGAAGGGAGAGGATATTTTTATTAAAATTATAAGTAACTTTATCTGTAAATAATGAAGCACATGATGTTTTGTTTTCTTGTTTAATCTTTTATAAATTTCTAAATTGTCTCGGTATTTTTTATGTAAATAGAAAACAGATAAATAAAAATTGAATTATGAAAAAAATCTGAGTGGTTAAGGTTCTTTATTACACTAACGGAAGAGTCTTCACTGTGTCTTCATGGATGCTAATCACTGATTTTCCTGGCCTGGTCAGTTACTTTGCTATTCTCGCTGGCATGGTTCTGAAGTCTTAGTGTATTTTCTTACATTTTGAGACAGAGTGTTTGTTATGTAGCCTCAAATGCTGTATAACTAAGGATTATTTTGAATTTACAGGCCTTATGCCTCTGCCTCATGAGCACTAGGATTATAAGGAATGCACTTCCAAGACTAATTTTATTCAGCACTGGGGGATCAAACCCAGGCCCTTGGGCATGCTAGGCAAGCATCCCACTACCTAAACTAAATACCTACCAGTCCTGGATTTTGTGATTCTATTTTGACAAATGAGATATTTGTCTGTGGGAATCTGAAGTTCCAGTTTTCTTTGTGTGTTTTGCCATCAAGGGATTAGTTGTACATATTAACAATATCTAAAGGCATGCCCAGTCATGGAAATTTTTTTCATCAAGGTCTCACTGTACAGTCCAGGCTAGCCTTAAATCTAAGTGATCTTATTGACTTAGCCTCCCAGAAATTGAGTTTACACACTTTTGCCATGACACTCAAGATAGGCATCATTAAATTAAATTTTCAGTTTTTGAAATTTGATGCAATTCAGTTACAAATTTTAATTCCAATGCACACATATGCAAGACTGATACTAAAACCTCTCAGGGCAACAAATCCTTACAGTCTCCATTCCACTTAATGCCATGGTTCAGAAGTAGGGACCCTACTTGAACCCTTCTCTGAATGCATATTCCTTTCTCATTTGCTCATTACAACACTGCTTCTGGGGGCTCTTGTTTATTGACAACATCCAGTCTTCTGGTTTTGAAGGGGCACAAACAGATGGCTCATCCTCTATATGTGAGTGTTCCTTTTAAAATGAACACTTGCTCAAAGAGATTAACATCTTCCCCAGCAATCAACTTTTTCAGCACATTTTTTCTTTCAAATTTTGTACTATCCTTCCACTTCATGGAGAGGACACTACTACATCTATGGGAGAGAGACAGTAGTACAAGTACTTCATGTACTCATATTTCTGATTGCTTATTCATTGGTAGTTTTTTATCAGAAAAAGAAAAAATCCCATCACAATCTTCTTTAGCACATTCTTTTTAAAATACATTTTAATCACATATAATAGCTTAATTCCATCACTTCCTCCTTTTCTTTCCTCCCTCCAGTACCTAACATATCCCTGCTCACCCTCAAATTGGTAGTGTCTCTTTATTTGACTATTATTGTTACACACAAACATATATGTATGAACAAATATGCTGAGCCCATGTTTGTTGTCTCTGTGTGTGATCTCATGGCTGAAACAATATTCTTAAAAACAAAAATTTATCAGGCTATCCTTAACTTCCTTTCAGTATTTTTGTTGTTTTGTTAAACACATTCAAATCTGCTTATGCTAATAGAAGATCTGCATTTATTAATAGTTCATCTACTTCTAAGAGTTTAATGTTGTCAAAATCAAATTCATATAAACCAAATAATTCATATTAATGGTACAGTGAAAACACATGTGAAATTTTTTACAAGTTTTCCTCTCAAACAAACTCCAGTTTGTTCAGTGGGGTCACATGTGCTTTTCGAGTCATATTGAATAATCTTTTTCAAACTCTAATCCTGCAACATTTACTACTAGATTTTCTCTGAAGTTTTATTGCTTCACTTCTTCTCTAGGGAGTTTCAGCCTCCATTAATTTAAGGTTTCCCATAGTATGTAAAGGAGAGGTCCATTCTTTTCTTTTCCATGCAGATATCTGGTATTCCAGAAATGATTTTAAGAATATTCTTTGTACCCTAATGACACTCATATACAGTATGCCTGACTGTGTTTCACTGT